GGCGCATCGCGTTCCTCTCCTTCCCCATTGCCCAGCAAGGGGAACGCTAGAGGTGCGATGGCGAAATCCAGTGCCCCAAGAGGTGCGCGCGATAGCGGCATCGGCCATCGCTGTTGTTTTCGGTTGTTTACAAAAGCCTTTGGAAACAAGAAGCGGCGCAGCTCTACGGCAACGCCGGCTCGGTGACTCGATAGCTTCATGCCTCCGGTACGGTCGCAAAATTTCGTCGCGAATGTAGGTCGAAATTCTTTAGTCACGATTTCCGAAAAAAAAAATAAAAGAAAAGAAAAAAAAAGGTCGACATATATTTGAATAAACACGGTAGTCAGCTGCGCGACGAGACACACATTATGAAAGCGATTGGTGCGAGCGATCAAGGCGATGAGCGACGTTTTCTAGAAGCCCAGGAACCGAGCGGCGCAAGCAGCGAGAGTGAGAAATCTTCGTCGCTCGGCGCCGGCACTCGTAGCTTCTCGTCGTCGCTCGTCTCGTTGATCGCTATATTGCTTACATGCTGTTCAGAAAGGTGCTCTAAGTGGTTACCATTGCATTGGGACCAGCCTCGCATCCAACCGTAACCAGTCTTGACTTTTTTTTAAGCCGCCCAGGTAGAAGTTAACATCGTACATACATCGTTTTCAAGCATGGCTCCTCGTTCATTGCTCGATTTACTTTTTCGTAAATGACAAACCGCAATGAAGCACAATTATTCTAGTTCAAAATTGTCACGAACACTTGGCACGCATGCTTACACTGTAGCGCACCTAACGTAATTTAAAAGTAGAACGAAAACGGGACGAGATTCGCTTACCGCTTCACGGAAACAGAGTCCTTCGGATCCTAGGCCTAACGGCCGAAATCGGAAGTCGCCTGCGGTCCGGCGATCGGACGAGTTGAGCCGGCCGCGCTGTGCTGACCCCGGCTGACCACGCCTGGTTGAACCATGAGAGGCGTCGTCGAGTTGAGAGCCAGAGACGCAGTAGAAACGGACCGTAAAACATCTGTCCCGTAAAACGCAGAAGGAGCCAGCGCCAAAACCGCTACGTCTGGCTGCGTCGCCATCTCCGCGACGACCGGAAGTGTGTAAACCGGGACTGGCCGGGAAGTTAGAAAAGGCGCGGCAGCGGAAGCCACTGGGCGGAAGCTTTACGTTTCGGTTTCGCTTTCCTCCGACATCGGCCACGGTCGCGGGCTGGTATGTTTGCGGCTGGTTGCGACGACGCGAGGGGCCACGAAAAGTCGCCGAGTTGGCCGAGTACGAGTCACGGCCCACGATACGAGCAACGGGCCATTTGCCCCTGTCGACCGGCGATGCGGTATCCGCGGCTTAGTGTCACGATCGGTTTGTTGCCGTGCACGTTGACTCAAAGCTCGAAGTTATGCAGTTCCGTCAGTTCCGTTCCGGCACCAGCCGCACCACGTTTTCCGGTGCATCGCACGTGGAGGCCTTTCGACGCATTCAGTGAACGTAAAGATCGCGCCCGCTGTCTTCGGTGCTGTGGAAGAAGTTGGGAGACGGAAGAAGCATCAAAACCAAGGCGTTTAGGACTCCAGTCCGGGCCGCCGGTCCACTCTGAACGAGAGGCGACGTGTGTGTGCACGCTTTGAGGAAGCCTCCACGTTTCGCCGCGCCAGACCTCGCCGATCGCGACCAGACCCCGAGTCCGAGAGGCTCTTGCGCAGCCAGGAACGGCAGCGAGGTAGGAGCTGCTCGTTCTGCGCAACCATGCAGTGCTCTACAGTGATCGGAGCTCTCGGTGTCATGCGTGCTTGCACCGAAGCCGTTGTGACCCCTTCGGACGCGCAAGTCGTACTTCGCAAAGGTTTGGACGGGGCCGCCGTCACCGAGCAGCTCCGCTAAATTCCGCTTACTTATGATCGCAATAAAAGCTTGCGTTTGTTCTCGGGAAAAAAATTGCGGGACCGCTCTCCGCGCCGCCGACGAGGTTGGCCGCCACCATGTTCTCAGCTGTTCACTCGCTCCCGCAGCGAGCGCCTTCCGATAATCCTCCCCGTTCCAAAATGCGATGCGATCTTCGTTTACATGGGCTGAATGAATGCGCACTCGCCATCTCGATCCACCTCTGTCTAGCGACTTTAATGCGATGCGCTTTGCGCATTATGCCGTTTACATGACCGCATATTGAATGCGGCAACTGGATTCAATGCGACTAAGTCGCATTCATGTAAACGCGGCTTATGTTATTTTTCGACATGTATGATGTATGTAACGATACCGGTGGTAAACGATGGACGTTTTTGTTGGAAGATGGCGGTCGTCTTTCTGCATGTATGGTTTAGTTATACCGGTGGTCTTGTGGTATAGGCGTTTCGTTGGAAAGATGGCGGTCGCCTACGTCATCGGACGCAAAATCATACCAGCCATACCGAGTCATATCGGCGAGCAAACCGGCTGCCAGTATAGACAGACCCGGAGCCATAGCGGTGCCGGTATCTCCAGTTATGGAGAACGCAAAACCAAACTAGCTGCATGTATAATAACAATAAATTATGGTGGTGTCATACCAGGACTGTACAAGCAGCAGGTTTGTTTCTTGTACGTTTTTCCAATAGGGTAATAGTGTCAGCAATAGCACGACATGGTGCCCGCCAGTGGCGTAGCCAGGATTTTATTTCGGGAGGGGTTAAACGGCACCCCCCCCCCTCTCCCCTCAATCACGCAAGGTGAGCTAGCCCACATGGACGCTCAAGCAAAAATTAGGGAGGGGCTGTTAAGATAAAACAGGTAAAGCTGCATTGTCATTTTTCAAAACGGAGCAGGCTTCATTTACAGGAATACCGGCGAGGTGGCTCACTGTTCTACCGTCGTCATACTTGCGGCCCACCAACTTTAAAAGATTTCCTCACAGCACACAATTCCCTCCGCTTTTTGAGGCAGCACTGCATTACCAACGCGTGAAGGCCAGACAAAACAATAAGATTGCTATACTTTCGCAAAAAAAAATTTAATAAATAAGCAGCAAAAATAATAAAATTTGCCGCTGGAAAATCGGAGCAACCGACCAGGCACCAACATTAGGGGCCCATATTTAGGGCGAAGGTAATTCTGAGCAATTACAAATTCAAAATCTATTATTTATTAAAGCAAATTCATGCTGCAGAACCAGATGCCAAAGGAAAGAGAGTGTTATCTTTACTAACCTGCTTTATCTTGCAGCGTGGTCCAAAGGCAGCAGCAGCATATCCTCGGGGTCATGAGAAGTCATCGGTCCGAACTCGTCGTTCCGTCACTCGGAGAAATGACATGACGCACCACACAGAAATTACACGCTGAATGTGGAAAGGAACTTGACTACCCTTGCGCCTATGCGTAGTCAGGGTATGAAGGCTTGTCTCTTAGGAGTTTCTAATGTTCCGTGCAAAGAAGAGATTAATCTAATAAGAAATTGCATCGGACGCCACCTCGACATACGAAGCAGAAAGCAAGACGAACTTCGTCGCATTCGTGACCGACAATTTTCTCAAAGTTAGGGAAACTTCGCCAAAAATAGGGAAATTTTAGGCGTCCAATGCAAGAGGGAGAAACCTGAAGCGCCCGTCACGTCTGCGGTACATATACAGGCCGTCGCCCTCTGTCCGGATCCCCTATTTTAGAACGTCCATCGTCTCCTCAAGATCCTAGCGACTCTGAGCGCTAAGCGCTCATTCTCTTCGCTACTACGCTCGAAAACATACCTGAGAGCGTCCACTTCGAATGAGCGACTGCTCGGTCTACACTTCGTTTCAGTTTACGTCCAGACGCAGCCGATGCTGCAAGCGCGAGCCTTTTGGCCCTGAACAGTGCTTGGAGTGCACGAGCGCACGTGCTTGGCAGGGACGCTGAAATCCCGGAGCTCGCGCTTGTACCATCGGCTGCATCTGGACCCAAGCGGAAACGATGTATAGCGCTTTTGAATATTCACCGCGACATTAAAGTTCAAGCGAAGGACGTCCTGGATGTTGTTTTCCGTGAATGCAGGCGGCTGCATTTTAGTGTGTAGGTGCTTGGAAACCAATTTACAGAGAACCTGTAAATTGTTTTCCAATCTAACTAGTCGCAGTCACCATTTAATTCGCGGCAATTTCTAGTCGAAACCACGTAATTCTGATCACAAAAGGCATGCGTGAGCGCAGCCCTACCCGTTGCTTACAGTGAATGTTTTTTTACAATTGATTTATTATTCCTTACATCACTGACACTGTATTATAATATAACCGTGTGTTCGTTTTATTATCTTTGGTTTGATTGAAGTGCGTATTTCAGTGAAAATAGTTTGTTATACTTTGCCTTGAAATTGCCATCCTTCACTCTGCACATGTTTCGAAATATCCGTTCTCTAATATCTGAGATCAAGTTCCGCATCCCATCGAATAAACAGGAATTGAGCAATATTGCATATTTTATTAATTATTGCATTTTCCACCCCACAAACAACTTTCCCGAAAGCACATAATTTGGAGATTGTCCGCGCTTCCCCGTTGCTGCGTGCCTCGTGCAAATCCGACTGCGTGAGCAGGAGAGCGAGCCGGGAGGGTGGGGGGGGAGGGGTAGCTTTGACTTTCGGGAGGGGTTTCGACCCCCCATGACCCCCCAAACGCCCCCTATGACTACGCCACTGCCGCCCGTCAATACCTTTTGCAATAAAAAAAAATCTTATGTTTCGCATTTCGGCTGTCTCGCGCGGTGTTCATTGCTGACCTCACATGCCATCGATATTGTTCTTGTTTTTTGTTCTTCCTTCCATCTCAACTAGGGAGCATCAGCTAGTATGTTGCCAATACTCGACAAAATATTTTTTTTTTCACACTACGGCGGCAGTCTGTGCAGATCCTCAATCGTAACTCCCCGTGTGGAAACAGCAAACCAGCGGAGTGCCATAAGCACGCCTCTTTTTTGTTTTTCCCCTATCAGGCAACCTTCCCTATATGCGCCGGTACAAAGAATACCGATATGTTTTATCTTTTGATCCTCTCAGCTGTTTGCAGGCACTCTTGTCGAATAGATTGTGCAAGCAATGCAAATAGCCCCGCTCTATTTTACTTGTCAATGCCGTGTGGAATTGACATGCAACCTGAGACGTACCGCTGTGGCTACAATGTTGGGGTTAATTGTCGTACTTATGGCGGTTCCTGCTTGGGCTCTGCAGAAAGGCAAGTATTACATCTTTTATTTGTTCATTCGATTCCCTATTTTCTTTTTTTGTAATTGATTCGTGTCTTTTTATCCAATTATTTTCATTAAAGATTAATCTTATTGTCCCATGTGTAAAACCGTTTCATCCTTATTCAATTAGCTAGAACTGGGACAATACATCGGGAGCAATGTTGTAACCCTGGAGAGTTGGAACGCTACGAACAGTCAGTTGCAGATTACCACGATTCATATTAACTATGTCTGTTCTTGAATTCTGTCCCCAACGCCCAGTGTAATAATATTTACTTTATAAAACATTCCTGGGTCCTTTCTGCAGCCTCAGTGGATGAAGATCTCGAAAAAAAATTTTATAGATGTTATGAAGCATATTACACTTAACTAAAAGAGTACGAACTATTAATAAATGCAATATTACATTTATATTTTTATGCGCTCTTAGTGTCTATATTGCCGCGCTTTCGATTGATTTTAGTAAACATAGTCTTAGTTTTAGGTTTCTGAGAAAACGTGATATACCAGGAATTTATAGTTTTGGTAGTCTGTAAATTCAAGTCAAAAATTAATTTTTAATGTTTTACCTAATCTTCAACCATCGATTTATTACTTCTTCCTCCACCGTGTTTTCACTTCATAAGTTCCTTGTCTCCCCTAATTATTCAAACTGTATCTATCACCGAATAATCAGAAGGAGCAATTTTAAGGGTTGTCCGTACAACGTCCTTGAAAATGTAACACATCATCAGCAAACACCAAAATTAATAAGATGAGACTTCGGTTCTTTTTTGTATGAGATAATACGCAACCAACAGTTGCGAGATACTCCTATCCACAGTGGATGATGATGATCATCGTCATTTATGAAACCTTGAAGACCCTTATGATAAGAAAAATAAGCTTGAACGATGAGCGCGATCGATAAAAGGAGCAAATTTCCAACGATGTTGTATTTTTAATAAGATAAAAGCAATGTTACCACTAGTATCACTTCCGAATATTTTAAGGTAGCTAGGACACCACGAAACAGACAAACTCTCTCAGAACCATAATGTTCTTCAGAGCTAAACTTTAAATGAAATATGATAGAAAACCACGTGTGGTTAACCACAATCGTGGTTAACTTACGACTCCATTGAAATGGCTGCTTATCAATCACGCATCCCAGCATTACGGGTATATCTAAATTTGTAAAATAAAACAACTTGTGGCATTCAGTCAACTCTGTCAACAAATTAGCCACGAAATTTAAGCCTTATTAGTTCCGTTTTATTTTAGAATCTGCGTATCACAATCACAATTTTACATTTTTACTTGACAGAATATTTTTTTCTTCTATTTCTACGACCTCAAAGCTCCGTGGTTAGTATGAGTACTTGCAAATTAAGAAAAGTTTTTAGAGAACTTTAGGATCCTCCCAATCAAAGGGAAAATATCTTGAATATACCTCGCCCAAGACCGGAGACAAAATTTATATTACAGCAACAGGATCAATTAAATCGTGTGATAACGTCAGAAATAAAAAAGGCAAGAATGTCAATCACTATTCGACTCCGTATAGAAATAAACACCAAAAGTTGACCTTGCTTCGTTACTTTATTCTTCCAGACCAGTGCGGAAACCCCGCAATTAAACCGGCTCTGGACGTCGAAGATCGAATCTACGGAGGTAGCGTGGCCGTGCCGGGAAGTTGGCCGTGGCAGGCACAGGTTTACGCCGGTAGACACTTGTGCGGAGGCACCCTTATCTCTGACCAGCATGTCTTGACTGCCGCACACTGCGTCTGGTAAGAATAAGACTTATTCTTTGAAACAAAAGGCTCTGCGAGTTCGCTTTTGAACAGAACAAGGAGACAGCCAGTGATGGCGAACGATAGAAGGCTCTCAGCTATAGGGACGAATATCCAAATAAAAAAAAACTGAAAGACGTTTAAGATTCTCTGTAACGCCGGATTTGAGTGTAGTACTTGAGCAGGAAGAGGGAGGGTGCGGAGGGAGGGAAGGTTATGGAGGAGAATTTACCGTGAAATTGTTCGTCAATTTTCCGGGAAATTCTCCCGCTCAATTTAGCGGGGACATTTCCCGGCTAAATTTGCAGAAAAATATCTATCCGCTAAATTTAGGGGAAAAAACAGCCAGCGAAATTTGGCCGAAAAATTCTCCAGCTAAGACTAGCGGGATAATTACCCCGCTAAATTTGACGGGAAAGTTTCCGCGCTAAATTTAGCGGAAACATTTTCGTGCTAAATTGAGTAGAACAAATTTTGCCAAATATGGCTGGAAACTTTTCCGCTAAATCAAGCGGCAACATTTTTCGTCAAATTTAGACGCCATGTGGCGTCAGCAGGATGACGTCACGCTTGACGTCACTCGTGACCCTCCTGAGGTCACGTCTAACGTCATTATGGGAAACGTCCTATAATGCAAAACGAGGTGACGGCGACGGCGACGGCGACGGTGACGGCGTCGCCGCTCAAGCCGGAAACGGGCGCCTAAGAGCTGCGCTCTAAAACTGCTATATGCGCGGAGAAAGAGAGAAAGGGAAACGGTATGGTGATTCACTTTGCGCACATCACGCAATGTTTGTCTAATCGCCTTCTCAACTCCGTGATTCGCTGGGATTCTCCTATTGTTCGGCAAAATTGAATTGCTGCAAAAAAACAGAAATCACGGGCTTTTTTTTTTTTTGTAGAGATTACAGTCAGCGCTTCTAATAGCCTCTGGCAGATTATAAGCACGTCTCAAATTGCGATCTCACATCTGGTCTCGTGCTTCATGCTTCGAAGTTCCTAACGGCTGATGGCACAATCTCATTGTCTGTTGAGCGATTAGATGTTCGGGACTGGACACGTCCCGCGTTTGTTCAGCTCTCGGTGACTCTTGATAGCAAGGACGTAGCGCTGGAAGTTTCCCATCATCTACGAGGGGCCAGGCCGGTGCACAGTCTTGAGACGAGTGTTGCGACGGTGTTCGAAAGGGATTCGTGTTGGGTCAGTGAAAACCTGAATCAACCGCCTTCCTTTTGTCACCTGAAACCGATCATAGCGCGTAGGCATGAAGGGGAGTTGATCACGTGGCGTGGCCTATGACTGGTTCGACGAGCAAGCAGTTCCCACCGCAATAGCAACTTGGGGGGGGGGGGGGGGGGGGAATAGAGTACAGCGACTCGAATTGCGAGTCACAATCATTTGTCTTTTGTTAAGTTATTGAATTTCCACGTATGTTCCGAGAGGCTAAGTGACTCTTCTGGCCACACTGGAAGCGTGACGTAAAATATTTTAATATAACGACAGTGCAGCGTGTTCTCCGCGGCTCATAAGAAATTTTGTTGTTTAAAATTAATCTTGGAGCAGCTCACGACAGAAAAGCAAAAATAAAAATTGCGCCAAAAACTGTTTCTGGAATTACAGGCGGGTTTTCGGAAGTTTATATTGACGTTTTCAAACCAAGGCTGGGGCAGGAGGAAAAATCTTTTACAGTGGAGGAAAAAGTAATAGGTCCAATCAACATTCCTAATTGAGCTCTGCTCTATGAGTTAGATTTGTTGTCTCTCCCTGTTATTTTTTAATCCACTGTAAAAAATTCTACATCCTTCTGCGCGATTCTCGGGTAAAAATCATCGCGTTTCTTTTTTTTTAGATTGCATATTTAATTTGCAGAGAGTACATAAGGTGACGTCACCAAAACAGGAGAACCTGGTAAATTTTGAATGTCGGTTTTGGCCTAACATTCATTTGCCGCTTTCTGAACACCTGTTTTTGAGTTTAGAAATCATGTGTAGCATGTCGGAAAGAGAAAAACATTTGTATATCGAAATTTATTTTTTGTTCACTTTAAATGAAACTATTTCTAAATTTCTCGCTCAGGTTCCACATGAATACCGTAAAGGTTCAACTTTCTAGTGCACGAACAGTGTGACAATAACTTCCCGGTAGCACAGTTCTTTAGACAAAAATATAGTTTCTGTCTTGAGAATAAAGGCTTTTAAATGGCCGGTGAAGCCAAGGTAAAGCCAAACTTGACGTCGAACTTGAGAATAAGGGATTTTAAATGACCGGTGAAGCCAGAGCTTTCCTTCGCCACAACAAGCGCCAAAGCTTGGCTTCACTGCTAATTATTTAGCTGTCATCTACCAGGTCTGGCCCTAAATCGCCTAACAAGTGCCAGAGTGAGGCTTCACTTCTTGTTTGTTCTGTTGTCATGTGGCAACTTTGGGGATACATTGAAAAACAAGTGCCCAATTTAGGCTTCACTGACAGTTCTTCGGTTCATACGTGCCATCTATGGCTAACGTCTTACACTAACCCGCATTGGGTCCAAGTTAGGCCCCTAGGATTGACAACCTTGTGTCAAGTTAAGCGTTTTACTGGCGTGCCTCCCGGGCTCATTCGTCCTTGTCCGTCCAGGAATCTTAGCCCTTCGACCTTCACCGTCTACCTCGGCTCCCATCACCGCTGGCAGTCGGGGGCATCAGAAGTACACGCGCCGGTCAAAGAGATGTGCGTCCACCCTGCCTGGCATCGTTCCAAAGCGCCGGTAAGGAATCGTGCGAGTAAGACCCATTAGAACTGGTGTCAAGGTGTCGATTCATGGGCTTCACTCATGTTTATGTGAGCAGACTCATGAAGCATAACCATAATGAGACAATGGGTCTTTTTGCAGTAAGCCCCTGCGCATCCCCTGGCTTTTCTTACCTAACCCTGTCGACGGTTTTCGAGGCAACCGTACCGCATGACCGGCAAGTTAAAAACCTATCTCCGCGCGCATTTCGTCGTTTTTGACGATTTGTTTTTAAAGCAACGGTACTATTTGGCATGAAAAACAATAAATACAGATACAGAAGCACGATGCCAACGTGCTTTGGAGGGTATATTTCACGTTGGCCCGCCCAACACTTGTAGTTCGCAGACTACACCACCATAAGGCGCTTGTTATTCGAGAGCGGTTCACTGTGTTGTTTAGTCGAAGGGAAACCGTGCATCGTACTACTCTACTTTTATGCAGCATGTGTTCCACATAAGAGTGAATAGTCCCACCACTACCGTTTTTTTCTTCAGGCCGATATCAGTAATTTGCGAGATTTCGCCGAGGATAAGGCATGTGTAGTTGTTTAGGTCTTGGCCCGTTCTATTTAGCGCGAACAATTATGCGCTAAATTTATCGGGAAAAAACATTGTGGTCTGATACTGTCAGGTGTCACGTTACGTCACGTTTTTTTCTCCAGATTTAGCATGGAAATATCTACTGTAAATTGAATTAACATTGTGACGGGATCTCACATTGTCACGACATGCTGTTACATGACGTCACGGCGTCACATCAACACCGTCCGCTAAATTTAGCGGACGTAAATGATCTGAATGAATCAATGCAATGCAGCTGTGTGCAGCAGAGCGGCAGCAGGGCGTCCAGCGCCTCGATATCACCGCAGTTCATTGGCAGGACGCCGCAGGGAACCGCTAACTTTGTTTTTACAGTAGTTTCCGAACAATATTTATGTAGACTGTCTTCCTTGAAAAGCAAAGCTGCTTCTAACAAAAACATTAGGACGTAGTAACTAACACAGATCGCCACTGTTTACGTCAGCAAACTGGACAGGTTTCCCATCCCGCTTATCAAATGTTGCACACGTAAGATTACCGAAACGATAGTATGTATAGAGCCACACTGTTCGCACAGACAAGGAAGAAGAGCTTTTTCAATGTTTTATTTCTTGAAAATAAAATTGTGTCACAAAGATTACTAGCGAGGCTTACATTTTCTCTTTAGCTAAGCAAAAGTAAGCGTTACAATTCGATGCTCATCAACACCTGCTTGCGTAGATGTCGTGTCGTGTTGAACACGACACGAAACCTACGATGTCGTGTTCGTGTTGATTGTGCCGAAATGTGAACTTATCCTAAAAAAAGTGGTTTATTAAACAAACGAGTTTGTGTGTCGATAATCCTATATCGCGAAGATATGTATATACCTTGTTCGATACAGGCGGTTAATGGCACAGAAAAAATCTGTTCAGACATTATATATAGGTCAGTCTGAGATCCTCCCAGAAAAACATGCTTTCAGGTTTCTTTGTTTTTTTTTTAGTTTTCTTAGTGTGAACTACAAACCAATTAAAACAAGGCGCTAACTTTGTATAATTTTAAAGAAATTGCGATAGCAATTTCTGCCCCGGGTTTGATACATTTAAGGATTATAAAGAGAAGCGAGAGTGCGGAATATTAGCCCTGTCGCCCTTCACGAAATTCGACCGATAAACGAACCATTTTTTAAAGCATCTGTCACGGGCTCATACATCTGGTGCTCCTCTGTCGTTCGCAATGATTCTTAATGCTAAATGGTGATACGGACGTGGAGCATAGGCGCGGTACGATCGAATGCACGACATACTTCAAAAGATAGCTCTTTCTAAAAAAAGAACCCTTTTGATTATTACCGGAGAGGTTTGAAGACCGCTTTTAATCCTCTTGTGGCTGATTACGACCGGCCATACTGCTGCGTAAGCAGTCGTAAGTAGTCGCAAGAGATTTAAAAACCGGTTGTAGAGGGGTCGGCAGTAGTGAAACCCGAGTGTGTCAAGTGAGCGTATGTCATATAAAAAGTAAGGTATTTTATAAAATAACGAGTAAACAGCACCCAGCTGCTTGATATACATCCCCAAGACATCTTTTTTTAGGAAATGCTTGCCTAAAGTGCAAAGACATCACTGTATGTTGTACCGTACTTTTTTGTGTTTATGTCGTATCTGACTGACTCTAGAGTGTCATTGGATTCTGTACCTACCATCGCCGCTTCTCCTACCAAGAGTGCATTCCGAAAAGCTTATTTGTGAAATTCTCTGAGTAAACTGTTATTATAAATGGGCAACCTGAATAAATGTGAAACAGCATTTTTTTAATTAAATGTACCATTTTATATACTTATTTCTTGACTGAATAATCATTTGAAATATTATGAAGATAATACCTTCACAGATCTCCTGAGAACGTATAGCAACATTTATGTAGTATGGACTAATATATTGTTATTTCGTTTAGGGTGAGGCACCGGACATTGCAATTATCAAACTCAAAAGGAAGGTGAACATGACAAGGACAATTCAGCCAGTATGCCTTCCGAACCAGGGGGAACAGCTCACTACAGGATCCAAGCTCTACGTCACAGGATGGGGTGAAGTAGGAGGTGAGTTATCACTAATTTTGCAATTTACTGAAGTCTACCCTGAGATATATCATATAAGCTATTGAAGGTGTAAAGGACGTGAAGTGAAATATTACTGAAAACAGAATAATTTAAGTACTGCAACACCAAGATTTTGTGATTCCTTACCCCGAGATAAAACGGATGAATGAATGGATGGATAGATGAATGGATACATAACGGCTGTTACCTTTAAATCAGGTGGTGACTTGCACCACCTAGTCAATTATTAATTTTAGCTTACTCAGCGACTTGCAGTAAAATGTGTTTTCTCTGAGTATTGTCGCAAACATTTTTAACGGAATTAAAAAAAAAAACAAAAAAACGAGCTACCAGCATGGGTTCTACAAAAAAAAGTTGGAAGCCTGAAGTTTTTTTTGCCAGTTATATAACGGGCAATACAGCATGAGTTCTGGTGAATAAGTGACTAAAAATATTCTCCCAGAATTGACGCTTGATTTGGAGTCAAGCCAAACAATCCAAACCATGAGGTTTTTATGTACCCTTTTGAGGTAAAAACAAGTGATAAATGTAATATTTGGGACGACGAGGTTTATGCTGTGATGGATAATTCAGAGAAGTTTGAAAAATGTTTCTTGATTTTCACTACGATTTTGTATTTCATAAAATAACCAGTAAACATGTACCCAACTGTTTGATATACATTCCGATAAAATATTTTCTTGAGTTCATTTAAAATGGTGTTGGTGGGATGATTTTGTGTACGTTCAACGTTTATTACGGAGATCGCCCGAATGATTGTATATGGGGTTTTGGGTTGCTGTAAGGTTCTTAGTTTTTTTTTCTTCTCGTTTTTGCATTGCTTTAAGAAAAAGAAGAAACAACGCATCTTTGAGACAGCTCGAAAGGGCAATCCAAATGGTTAAAAAATGCAAGAAAAGAAAAATATATTCATAATTACCCTTTATCCGTCCTTTGATTTTGCCAATATTCCTCTAATCTTCCCCAAATAAGCTCGATGTCTTCCAAACGTGTTGTTTCACTGGTTCCATTGAATCATAGGGCCTTTAAAGGGTCAGCTTCTTCGCGTGATGTCCTGGGTGGCCGTGGCCGTTTCATTCTATAATGGCACGCTGTGATACCTCCATTCCCTCACATATATAATACACGTTGTATCTACTGCTTAGTGTTTGGCCCTGTATGTCCTAATTCTCAAACCTCAAATAATAAGGCACTTTCTCCAAAGCCATACAATATTCTCTTCTTTTTAATATCCGTTTTTCTTGCCCTGTACCTTTAAAAAGGTGGCTTTTCCATTTATACGTTCTGATTTCTCTGCACTAAAGTTCAGTCCCAACTTGTGACTTCCCCGTCCATATATTGTCCTCAGTTACTGTATATTTCTACTGTTGTCTGCCATAATAAAATTGCTATCAGTATACATTATCCCTGAAATTGTCTGTGTGACTTTCTCCCGCGGTCTAAAATAGGTTAGATCCCACTTACGAGCGGTCTTCTTTAACCTATGTTCTAACCCATGCAGATATATCATAAATAGTAGGAGTGACATCGGGCACCCTTCTCTGAGACCCCTGCCTATGACTAAAGGCTGCATATGTCCACCCTCACATGCTATCGACATCTGATTATCCCTGTAGTCGTTCCATACAATGTATGACACACGGTCCCAGTCCTCTTTTCTTTAAAATATTCCACACCTTATTCTGATTTATTCCATCATAGTCACCTTTGATATCTAAAAACGCTAGCCAGATTGGCCGACCTTCCTAATTTGTAATTTAGAGGCACAGCGTTGAAGGAAGTATTATATCCTCTAAACTTCTCACCCTTCTAAACCCGTTTCATTGTTCACCTAGTATTTTTTTATTTTTTAGTTAATCCTGTACCCTACTCTTAATTACCTGCATTGCTAACCTGCATATGACCGAGGTTATTGTTTTTGGGCGCTAAGGTCTAATATATCATTATTTTACTCTACCTTAGTATAGAAGGTTCATTATGAGTCGCCTCTAATCTCTTGGAACTGTTCTATCATTAAAAATATTCTCCCATGCCTCTTGAAGCAATGTCACGGACTGTAGACGCATCATATTCACTAACCTGGATATCATCTCGGCCTGTAGATGTGCTTCCGAGGATGTTTTGCGTTGCTCTCTTGCATTTTCTTTCAGTGATTTCCGATAATTTCAGAATCTTCATGTTCCTCTGATTTACATTGCACAGGTTCCCTCGCTCAGAGATCTGCTTTTCAAACATCAGTTCTAAGATCATGCTTGTGTTTAATTGAGGCTTCCCTTTCGGGTTTTCCCGTTTGATGTGATCAGGAATCGCTACTAGTTTCTTGTCCTTTGCCCAGAGAATTAGGACATGCCAGAATTACCTAGCTTCTTGCCTATTCTTCTTGTTTCTATGTTCCATCTAGTCCGACCCTCTTCTTCAGATTTTCTCGTTTATTATGATTCATACTCCTTTCGAATCTGAAAAAATTCTACCCACTTTGTTTCTACATCTTATGGTGAATCTTCTTACACTTACCTGCCTATGATACCAAGACCGATTCTGACGTTGTGCTCTCAATTCTCTTACCCATTTGTTTAACCAAGGCTTTGCCTACATTTTTATTCTTCTCTTCGATTCCTCTCAACTTTACATAGCAGCAAACAGAAAAGTGCTAAAATCTTCAACATGTAAGAATACCTACCTCATCGGTGAATGCGCAGACATCACATAAACAAAGTTTAAAACCTTAAAACCAGAAGAACTATTGTCTTGGAGTTGTGGCACATGCAACGTGCATAACCAACGACAAGCACCTCAAAAGGATGGCCAGGAAACAGCTATGACAGGCGAAACTAACACAGCTATGATGGAGCAAATATTAAAAACAAACCAGGAGCTAGGAGAAGTCATATCTAGAATTGAGAACATCAAATGTTAGCTAAAAATCCAGTCTCTCAAATACCAGGATCGAAAAACGCAATGTTCAGAAAAAACAACCAAGAGACAGAAACCTCGACAACCATGCTTTCCCAAGCAGTACAATATCATTAAAAAAGTAGACTTTTTGACATTTGCTACGACCGAACTAAATAAAAGGACAATTGACATTCAGCAGCTCCGGTACAAAAGAGATTAAATATTAATTAAATAACTTAAATGGGCATTACAAAAAAGGCAAGCAATACTCGTGCAGAATAAACATAGAAATTAAAAGAATTACACGACACGGCTGAGAAGACTTGACAGCAGTAATGGAAAACCTAGCAGCGAAACTGAAGTTATTTGTGCCGCAGCCCAATAAGATAGAGTCAACTCGCAGACTAAAAGCGAGAGACGGTAAAATTCCTCTTGTGATTGTATGCTTTAATGAAAAGAGGAACGGATCAGATAGATCAGCAAACCTACCGCATTAAAGGGATGGTGACCCGAAATTTAGATTTCATGAAAACAATGCAGGAGATGTTGGCGGAAAGCTACAATCCCTACAACACTACTCGTAAGGCGATATCTCGGATGGACAGCCGTATTTTGAAAAAAGAGGTCGAAATTGAACCAGGCCGACGAGGCGCGTCACCGTGAAGATACCTAGTTTCCTCCTCTCTTCGCTTCGCTCCCTCAAGGCCGCGACGCGGAGAAGACGCGAGGCTGTTCTCTCTCCTTCTCGCAGAAACATGACGTGAACTTTTCTGTCAAATGCGCCTCCTTTTCCTGAAAAATAGAGTCATCCGTTCGAGATACTTCTGTATGAGTGATGACTTGGTGTTTGTAGCATCCCGTTGCACGCTTTTGCCGCGTGTTTTGTGGAATCCAGATTTCTGTTCAGCATCCCATCAAAGGACGAACACGGGTACACCAACGAGAACTTCTCCAGACTGCAACGGTGGCTGTTCTGGAATGAAAAATAGTGTACGTGGGAAATAGGGTACAAACACAACAAACACTTACTTATATTATAATTATATCTCCTAATATCACAATTTCATGGTTACCACCCAGCTGTTGTATATCTCGTGATATACAGTCGAGCCTTTGCGTATTATATTTCATAGAATTACACCCCATCCAGAGGTAAACAATTCCTATGAAAACACGTTCTCCCAATGTTTCGTGCACTCCGACATCATTTTTTTAGTGTCCGTCTTTCTCACTATGGGTGCAATTACACCACCTTTTCTTTATCTCTTTGTTTTATTTCATGCCACCAACGGAGATTAAAACTTTTTTTTATTACAGGCCGCTCCGTATCCCCAGGAATAGGTTTCTACATATCCAAACACACTAATATCTACTGATGCAGCTGTTGTTAAATTCCTTCCCCTTTAAAATATCCCTAAAAACCTGCACGTTTATACAGTTTATGCTTGATTGTCCTTTGTATCTTCACTGACTAGTTCTGCATTTCCTCCTTTCCGATCCGCTCTTAGCACGCGGGCGCCATTATTGAGGCGACCTTGGAACTGTGTTTCACTAAAGGGATTCAAGAAGAGTGGTTGTTCTGGGCGAGTTGGTGTGATATCTTATGGGATCTTCTGCGCAGCAAGTGCGAGGACAAAAAGGAGAACAGGACACAACAAGGCGCCAGTTGTGTCCTCTTCTCCCCTTTTGTGCTCATCCTTGCTGCGCGCAAGATTGCATAATATGCTCACAAGAGGGAATCGTCTGCAGTGTCTGCGAGGTCAAATATAGATACAATTTATACAAAATTATATTTCATAATATTTTCGAAAGGTTTTCAAGCCAAAAGAGAAAGAATGGTGTGCGAAAATAATAGCAATATATACACAAAAGCCAAGTTTTCTAGGGCTACCCATGGACGGCGCAAGTGTGCACTCTGGTCATAAGAGATCCCTAGGGGTTTTAAGCCCCTCGGTCGGAAGCGGCTGCAAATCTGTAAACCGTCTTTAACATCCCCAGTTTCATTTTGTACAAAATCGTTTTCGAAACTCAAATGCTATTGCCGATGAAATGAAATAACTTTAAAAATTTGCGTACAGGTTTTTTTATAATTTCCACCGATCCCAGTACGAACCTGAAATATATGTTAGGGTGTTTGACACATTAAACTCCACATACATGATCCAGACGACTGTCATAAAGACATTTGAGACAATTAAGTGCAAGTAAACGAATTTATATGTTTATGCCTATAATATTCTTCTACATAATCTATTAAGTATACCCAACTTTTAACCCTTGCTTGTTTTTCGAACGCAATATATGCATAGAGCAAATTCGAATGTATTCGGTTTGACTGACTCTGTATATACTAACCTGAGTCATGCACCAGGGGACAAAAACTGCGTGACAGGCTTTTGTTGAGCTATTTCATCATACTTGTTAATGTGGACGACTAAATTATGTCGAAACACAAAGCTAAAAGAGTGGTTCAAAACTAAAGTCACTTATGGCACGAAAACAAAACTAACAATTCCCTTTTTTTGTTTGACCAGTACTGATACATACATTATGCCATGCTCTTTATAGGTGGCAGGTCTGCACAAGAGCTAAAGCAGGTTATGGTATCAGCAATTTCACATCAAGAGTGCCGACGATTGAGACACCGCATAATTCCTCAAGCGTTTTGTGGTGGTCATCAATACGGCAGTACCTGCGGCGTAAGTATGGCATTTTCGTCTCCAGCAAACTCTCTGTCTGCTGCATGCGCGACCTTATCAGTATTTTGTTTCTGTTCTGGTGCATTCGCTCAGACACGTTCATCGTCTATACACAAACACTGCAGTATCATGAAAACATGCCTCTCTTAAACTAATTATTCCCGGGTAAATGGCGTTCATTTTACGAACACAAACAATAGCCCAGTGCTGACGAATTTACCAAACCAAGCGTGCCAAATTATAAAAGTATAATCGCACCTTGAAACATTTCAGTCTCAGGGCGTTGCGCTCTTATTATTCTTCATAAGGAATACACGAGCATTCATTCACTTTCAATATTTCAAGTTCTTACCGTCAACTACAGCTGAAGAAACGCATGGCGTAAAGAGACCCGAGCATATTATTTTAGCTCCCAAACCAATCATATGGCGGCATAAGTCCATAAGAATGCAGAAGAACGGACCACGAAATATAAATGGTGAACATGATATGCGTTCTGTGTTCATTAGCACTTCAGTGAGTGTAGTAAACCAGTGTGGTGCACCGCGGAGATAGAAGGATTAGAGCTAATTCTTACTATAGTTTTAACGGCAGAACGTTTCTCTATTAAAACCAAGATAGACCCTTTTCACAAACGCGTGCATTCGCCTGTCCTGTCTTGTTTAGGCACATGCTCTGAGCACGTCTTAGACACTGGGAGTTCTTGACCATTCGGCAATAACTGAGGTTATCGGCGAATGGTCAAGCAACATAGGCGGTCGCCATTTCGTCCCAAGAAATGGCGACCGGCAATGTTGCTTGATGGCTCTTTGAAATGGGAGTATTGCTGCAAGGAGTGAAAGAAAAACTGACGAGTGACTACTATAGCAAGTAAAGCGAGACCACTGAGTTTTGAAAATATAAACACGAAGATAACAGGCTGCAGGATATGCTTTGCGGCTTTCCATCTCAGAGAAGGACACAACGCCACCGGTGCGTCAACATGATTTATTGACTCTTACCGCCAGGTGCCACGACACAAAAAGCACCCGCGCATACTTCTGCGCCGGTCTTTTATCAGCGGCAGCTGCCGCTCGCGTGGCCTAGAGTTCCTGTATAGGCTCCCTACGGGAGCTAGAGTTGCGCGTTCATCCCCGTAGCGCCGTGTTTTCAGTGCGGCATGTTGATCGAGCTCCTCAGGTGACTGAATTCAGCGAAAAGCGGCGCCGCGTGTTCGAAACGCGCGGCGCGTTCAAAAGCAGGGGAACGTACGCCGCGACGCGTATACAACATCTGCTTTCCTGCACGACATTTGAGTATGCTCTTCACATGATTGGATCCCGGCGAATTGTGGCGCGGCGGCACATGGAAAACTGACTGGCAACTCTCGCTCCCGTTGGGAGCGAATACAGGATCTCTGGAGTGGTCCAGAGCCGTGGAGTGGCCGATTGCGCACTGCCACCTCGCGGTAGAAATCAATGCAGAGAGCGAGTAGTCTCCTTCTTGCTCAGTAGTAACGGTGCCGTCAGAACGACGCCAATTTTTGTGGGCTGATTGAAAAAAATAATCTTTTAAATGGAAAAAAATATATTAGGTAGACCTCAATGCTAGATTCCTCGAGGTCTACCGACTAGTTTTTTCGATCAGCCAATAAGAGCTCGGCGTCGTTTTGACGTCCCAGCCACTCGTGCGCAAGAAGCAGACGGCTTGCTTTCCGCATAGGTTCGACCTAACATGCGCCCAACATGCTGTATTGAGAAATCACATGGCGCGATTTAACATGCGGACGATTTGGCCGAATGCTGTGGATCACCAGGTTGCCCACCAGGTCCGTTGCTAATTTTTGTTTTTATTGTACGACAGAACATATTCAGGTTGCCCACCAGGTTGCCCACCAGGTTGCCCACCAGGTTGCCCACCAGGGGACCTGGTGGGCAACCTGGTGATCCACAGCCTTCGGCCAAATCGTCCGCATGTTAGATCGCGCCATATTTGATAGGCGCAGGTCTGTGCAAAATGTGCATAGCGAAAGAAGCGTGGCAAGACACTGTCTGAACCACAATTATTTAATAACAGTGAATTATACGGAATGTGTACCAGAATTGTTCATATTTTATCTGTATCAAATTATAGGACGCTTTGGTTAGAAAGGAATACACTAGATCAAGATCACTCGGAGTCGAGTAACTAGGAGTACACCTCAGAAAGGGCTTTCGGTTCCGCGTCCCTTGAAACAGAAATATATATAGGATAGCGTATATCCATAAAATTGTTTTTTTTAAGAAGAGTTCTACGAGCGTGTAGAATAACTTGCTACCTTAAGACTTCAACTCATGTTCAGACTTTTACACCACACAAATTTCTATCTCTCGTAAGCTCTTTTATGTTGAAGAGGACTCGTCGATCGCTAGCATAAGTATCATGTCTTTGCACCGAGACTACAAATTCATGCGTTCACAGCAAGACAACTTCCTAGCGGATCAATGGGCTCGAAACCTTTCAAGTAGTCAAGCTATCTGAACCTGCATGTCGTAATATGAACCACTATCGCTAAGTCGAATACTAGCATCTTAATAGAAATTAAAAAAAAACCTGCATAAAAACATTTCGTTTCCCGGATCAGTTTAACATTGACTTTCTAGGCCAGGAATTAAAAAGAATAAATTAACGCTGGTGGCAAATTGATCCCCCTGGCTGCTTCGAGAAGAGCTATCCAGGCTCGCAGAGCCAATTTACTGGTTCAAAGCCGCCTCCGAATCCCTCGAAGTTTGACGAAGTTTCTTTGGTGTTTACATCGTTCGAACGCTAAATACCCGGGCAAACAACTGTCGAATCACTAAACGTCTCGGGACGCATGCACAGTGTCTGATGTTTCTCATAACAGTCACTCTGCATGCTCGAAACGTACCCCGCCAACCAGTGGAAAAAGATGGCAGCGTGGAGAAGGCTTAAGTTTAGAATGGTTTATGACTGTGGCTCATCTTTGTTCTTTAGCTGCACGTAGAGGGTCCTAAAGCTGCCTTAATAAATTACGAGTCATTCAACGCAGCGTTAAAGTTTACCCTTCCAGGTTGGGACCTGATGTTTCCCGATGCCACTTTGTTGGAATAACCGATGTTCTTTATTTCAGGGAGACAGTGGGAGCCCAGTTGTACACTTCGCAAACGGCCAGTGGTCGCTGCACGGAATCGTCAGTGCCGGTCCCAGGGTGTGTGGAACAAGATTAGGACCCCAGATATTTACAAGGGTATCAGCTTACGTGGACACTTTCATCGCTCCATACATCGACCCACTAACGAGCCGTCAAAGGATTCGCAACATGTGCTCTATAAAGCAGTAGCGAAATAAATTACGTTATGTATTCGAAAAAAATATCGGAGTTGGACTGCTGATTGCACTGATGACGAACTTCGTCCTTTCGAATAAAAGCACGAAAGTGGAAGAGACTCTTATGAGGTATATCAAAGAAGTCTCATGGGGTCCCATTTAATCACTGCGAGAATGAGAACGAGGTCCAATATGCCTCTCGCGAAGTGTGCGAAGAGAGCGTTCGCAGGAGGTTCGTCTGCAGCGCGAGCAAAGAACGGGATTCGTCAGCTAGAAAGCTGTATTTGCAGTCCGGGTTGAGCGGCGTCGCCGGCGCCGTCGGCGTAACCGCGCGTTGCAGTGTGGGACGTTTCTCATAGGGACGTCACGCGTGACGGGACGTGTGATGTCACGCGTGACGTCACGTACGGCGAAAAAAGTTCTTCGCTAAATTTAGCGAGCTAATCGACGTCACGTGACCTCAACATCAATTCAGTTTCCCCGCTACATTTAGCGGGAATGTTTCCCCGCTAAACATAGCGGGAAAATTTTCGCGTAATTTAGGAAAAAAATTAGCCGAAAGTTCCTGCTAAATGGGAGAGAGGGAACCAGGAGAGGAGAAGGAGAGGCTACGGAGGGGGAGGAAGAGCATACCCTCCGTACCCTCCCCTCCTCCTTTTCAAGAGCTACGCTCTAATTCTGCATTAGAGTTGTAAAGGTCTTCGTTTTTTTTTCTCCGTATCTGTAAATACCAGGGCTTACAAACTTTGCCAGCTTGTTGTCTTGTACCTTGTTCATATTGTCGCTAAATACGGTTGTCTAGGACACCAACATAAATTTATAAAAAAAAAACACTCAAATGGGGCCATTTTGATAATTACGAGTTGTTTTGAAAGTCAGATAAAAAGAGGTCATCTTCGATTACTTTCAAATCTCCCAGATTAAGGACAATGATAGAAACTAGCAGAATCTGCAAAGGAATGTTGCATCATTTTGTGTATTTGAAGTTATAAGGCTAGAAATGTTCCCAAACTGAGTCTACCGCAGCACCCCTAATGGGCCGCGTAGACAGATACCCATAGATGACAAATTTATTATATTTACGAAGTGTTAAACTCGTCGAGGCTAGTCAGAAAGAAACAATTTTACGGCACAGTGGTGAACGTCGGTTTAAATTGAGAATTATTAGTGAGTTGTTGTATAAGTGTCGCAGAAAATGCGCCCGGTCCAGAGCGATCGTGAAGCTCTCTCACGTCGCATGCTTCGCAGGGCCTGTTTTCAGTAGCCGGCGTGCAGGGTCTCTGTGCACGCCACGTAACGAAAGCGAACAAAGCGGTTCTGCTTAACTTATGTTTATCTCAGCATTTTGCCTGGAGGTAACATAATATGGAGCGCGAAACCGGCCCGCCTCCTCACGGCATTAAAGCCGCCGCCGCGGTGTGCCTGTGGAACGCTGCCGGACCTCCCAGGCAGGCGCCAGTGAGGCTAACGGCAGACAGAGCGCGCACTACACTAAGCAAAGAACCATCGTATCCGCTTTGCTTAGTATGACGACCATTTCGTTCCCGACACTTTAGTGCATTCTTTGCTGTTCTGGAACGTATTAAAGAGCGCCTTCTTCCCTGCAGGAGGTCTTGATAATGCCACGCGCAGGGGGTCACGGACTTCTAGAACTTTCTCGTTTATTCTTGCTCCGGATATAACTTCTATCGTTTATCCCTGCTTTTGTTGTTCTAGAAAGTGCGTGTTCAATCTCCCCGAGCGCGCTACCCTGGAACCTTCTCCGCCGAATTTTCGAGATAGTGACGCACTCTAGATAAGATGCCGCCCGCGACATTGTCGAGACAGTTTCGCCCCTGCGTTCGACTCTGCTGACACGCCGACTTCGACGCCCGCGACGCTCTGCTTTCTTCTGTTTCCTTCTTTAGTTTTTATGCACAAGTTCGCCAGATTAAACGTTAAGTTTACTCAGTGATTCGCCACGTCATCACTTGTCATTCGTGATAATATTCTGGGGGTTAACCTTTGGTGCGGCGGCTTGCTCTGGTATCGGTAATTTCCACGGACGATCTTCTTGATCCGGCGACTGGGCTGGCGCTGTGAGGCCACGGAGGGATTTGCTTCATGACATGCGGTACTCCGCACCTCTACCAGAAATGTCATGGTGTAAGGCGAAGAGACTATAGATATTTAACAGAAAATAAAGGTTTAATTGTCAAACTTGTTTGAAACAAAATTAAAAAAAAAGCAAGTTTTGAGACAGCAGAAAAGCGGGCAGTGATTTGGCGGCGGAACAGGAAGTGAGAACAAGACTGCTTCAACAAGGTTCCGCGCAGCTCCTTATCTAGTGTGCATCAACTCTCAAAATTTCGGCCCAGAATGTTCGAGCGTAGCGCGTTAGGAGTAAAATTGAACATACACTTTTGAGAACAAGAAATGTGGACGAAATAATAACATTTACGTCCTGAGTAAGAGTAAACGCGAATCTTCTAGAAGTCCGTGACCGAGCGCCGCTTGCACCGCCCTGCGCGCGGCACTATTTGTAGCAGTAAGAAAGAGAAGATAGAAGAGGAAAACGAAAAAATAACGACGAACCGAGGTGTCTCGGACGAGTGAGCCACAAAAAGGACGTTCATCAGTCAAATACTGAACCGCTACAATTTGGTGACAGCGGTGGGATGCACTTTTAAACACGTCAAGGTCCTCTGCCGTCAAAAGGGCAGCCTTCAGGTGAGCCGCCTGCCTAGGACCAGCTGCGAGATGGCTTTGATTGATTGATTAGGGGCATTCTGGCGCAACAGCGACATGGCCATACTGCGCCAAACTTAAATATTTACGCAAAGCAGAGAGTGTTATTTAATGTAGAAGTAAAAGTCATATACACTGGCAGAAGACAAAATGTGAGAAGGGCCTAATTATCTGTGGTGATCTCATACCGTAAAAAGCGCATGTTGGAAAAGCTATAACTTATGCATAAAACCTGTTTTCACAAGGAACATAACAACACGTTCAAAAGGAATAATCGGCTGCTCGTCAAGCACTAGTGCAGGATGAAATGGAATACAATACATTGCGAATTCCGGAAAACAGGAGCGTCTTCCTTGTGCAAGGGCAGAGCAGAGACCAAGGATACGCCAGACTGTCAAGATCTCAGCACAGTGTACGCAAAAAGGTGGATCTGCCCCAGGCAACAAGTAGTCAAGTACACATGGGTGGCATAAGAGTGATCAAGCCTCAAGCGACAGAGTAATATCTCACGAGACCGGGTTTTATGGGAAGGGCTCTCCCATATCCCAAAAACAGGCTTGATGGAGTGCAGCTTATTGTCATGCTGTTGATTCCATTATGTTTGCCGTTTTAGGAAAATTTCTGCCCTAAAAATAGGTTTCAGGTCTTCACGTGGCAGCTGCAGACATGTTTCCAAAAAGTTTTTGGAAGAGGCCGTAAGCCTGTCAGCCTTCTCATTGCCACTGAGCCCAACGTGGCTGGGTACCCAGTAAAATATGATGTCATGCCCCTTTTGTAGGCCCCTATATATTTTTGCACGCACAAGCTGGAGAGATTATGCTTTGAATCCTTTACAGAGCTGATTTCAGTTATAACACTTCGAGAGTCAACAAACACAACATCCTTCAATGTATGGCTTTCTATAATATAGTCCACTGTTGTTAATACACTTTGAAGTTCTGCAGTGAATATACTAGCAACACTGTTCAACCGCTGAATGCCCGTAAATGATTCAGAGTACACAGCAGATCCAACAAAAGAGGAGGTCTTTGCCTCGTCGGTATAAAACTGTGCATAATATTTGTATTTTTTAGTACCTCATGAAACTCCTGCTGGATGATTATTGAAGACTGTCTTCTTCATAATGTCTACTATCATTAACCCGACCTCAAGAACTCTTTGTTATCACCTCCTGACAGAACGTCTTCTCGTCTTAACAACTCCTGCACAATCAAACGTGTTTCCGGTTCCACAAACGCATTCAATCAGTCCTTCCTCACTCAAGCCATCTCCGACTAGAACAGCCTACCATCCTCCATCGTCACCATCTTGGACCCACAAATATGTCTGTCAAGCTTACGGATTCATTTTTCTCGTTATTAATATTTTTTTGCCAGTTTGTACGATTAATGAGCTTGACCTGGATGTGTTAATTAGCTTGTGTTTCTTTCTTTTCTTGTTTGTATAACATGTTTATACCCCCCCCCCCCCTTATGTAATGCCCTAACCGGGCGCTTAAGGTGAAAATAAATGAAAATGAAATGAAATGAAGAAATGTTACGTTTGTTAAGCCTTGTGAAACACCAATCGCAGCTGACTGGCAGCAGGTCTCAAGGCGCAACAGTGTCGATCCTTTCGAGTAAGCTTATGTCATTCAGTTCAAGGCTAAGAGATTGACGGATGTCCTCAAGGCGAAGACTGAGCGGCCGCACAATACTATGCTTATTTTGAAAAATAAAGGGAGAACTAGAGTCATGCACACAGCGGTATGTTGGATAGTTAGGGTCGGACAGGACTTTGTAGGCGTAAATCAAGCTAATATATTGCCGTCTTTTTTCCAGCGACATCTGATTTGTCTCTACATATAAACTGAGGATTGGTAATGTCCGAAAAGCCCCTGTGGCAGGTCGAAGGCCAAGGCGGTGAACAGGATCCAACATCTGGAGTGCCGATGACCTTGCCGATCCGTAAACTACTGCTCCGTAATCAAGGCGGGACCTGACGAGGGAGTTATACAGGCGCAGCAGACACTTTCTGTCAGATCCCCATGACCTGTGTGACAAGACTTTGAGGATATTAGCAGATTTTAGGCATTTAAGTTTCAGCTGTTTCAAATGTGGAATAAAATTTAGCTTCCTATCAAAAATGAGTCCTAAGAACTTATGTTCATTTCGGGTACTTATGGGAGTTCTATTGATCTCTAATGATGGATCCAGCGTTATTCCACGTTTTAGACAGAATGGTACGCACACCGTCTTCTCATGTGAGAACCGGAAACCATTATAGTCGGCCCACTTACTAATTTTATTTATTGCGAGCTGCAGCTGGCGTTCACAGCTGGAGAGATTGCAAGAAGAAACTGATATTTTAACGTCATCAACGTGCAAGGAGTAAGACACGGTGCGTGGTATTACCTTCGAAAGAGAGTT